TTGCAATGTGAATCTAAGTGAGTACCTTGTATGCTATTGGTTGAATTTTATTTGCTTATTATGTTGCAGGATGTGGATGGCAAATATTGGGTGAGTGGTCGGAGCAAGGAAGAGGCAAAAGAGAAGGCAGCGAAAGCCTTCAACGTCACCCCGGATAAAATCTCCCTCCAGCAAGGTAGGGAGATTGGAACTGGGGGCTGTGTTGGCAGGGCAATCATGAAGCAGTGTCCACTGCAGCCTTTGTATTGTATTCATTGAACTGTGATAGCCATGTAGTGTGATGATGATCATTTTACCCAACTCAAACTGTAGCATTTGCCCTTTACAACGATCCTTCCTTCCTTCCTTCCTTCCTTCCTTCCTTCCTTCCTTCCTTCCTTCCTTCCTTCCTTCCTTCCTTCCTTCCTTCCACAAAGGCTTAAGCTCTTAACAATGCTGTTTCCTCCTTAGGTTGCTTACCAGATTCTCCTAGTTAAATCTTCTGACCTAGAGATCCCAGCTTTCCCTCTATTTGTTTCCTTCCAAGATTAGTCAGACTCTTCCTGGGTTCTGACCTTGTTAAGGAACCTTGACCTCTCCTTGGCCAACTCTCACCAGCCTCCATGTGATTCTAGTCCAGGGTTTCTCAACCTTGGCAACTTTAAAACATGTGGACTTCAACTCCCAGAATTCATCAGACAGCATATGCCGGCATATGCTGGGTAGTGAATTCTGGGGGTTGAAGTCTGCACGTCTTAAAGTTGTCAAGGTTGAGAAACCCTGTTCTAGTCTGAAAAAGGGGTTAGGTCTTATTCGCTAGCTTCTTAAACTATATATAACCAAACCAAATTCTCCATAAAGTGCTCTTCAGAGTCTCAGTCAAACACCTTTGCCAACACTCTCTTGGTTTGAGCTCTTGTAACTGGAGATGCTGCAGCTTAAACTAGAGACCTTGATCCAGACATAGCTTCAGCATTTGAAGTACTATCTCAACATCATCTCTTTTCTTCTCTTCTCCACCCTCCATATCACAAACCTTCTATTTTCAGCTTAACTCTAGAATGCTTGCAGAACAAAAGATCACCCTGCTTTTGTGCAGATGGGGTGGGATGCAACTCCCAGAATTCCCAGCCAACCTAGTTGGGTGACGCAACCCAACATCTTTGGAAAGTAGCAAGGTTGGGAAGCAAGGCTGTGAAAGACACTTTTTTAAGCTACTTAGAAGTTAAACATGGAATACCAAACGTGACCCTAATCTGTTTCCCTTGTGCCTTTCTTGTGTCCTGCTTCCAGATGAGGATGTCCTGGACACATGGTTTTCCTCTGGTCTGTTCCCCTTCTCCATCTTTGGGTGGCCCAACTCAGTAAGTAAATGTGAAGTGAGGATGTATGTATATTTGTTTGCTTTTCAAATCTTGCTGACCCTTTCCAACTTGTTCTTTCAAGAATGAAGATCTTCAGGTTTTTTACCCTGGAACTCTCCTAGAGACCGGACATGATATTCTGTTCTTTTGGGTGGCCCGCATGGTTATGTTGGGCCTCACGCTTACGGGGAAGCTGCCCTTCAGAGAGGTGAGAAATGAACATCCATTCCTCCCAGGCAGTATGAGGTCTCCTCCACTTTTGCATCACTCCTTGTTGTTGTTGTTTAGTCGTTAAGTTGTGTCCGACTCTTCGTGACCCCATGAACCATATTGTGCCAGGCCTTCCT